AGTAAAAAAGGCTCAATATCTTTGTTTGAGACAGAGCTGAATGTTCCTCAGTGGTCGACTCTGTCTCCTAAAATGACATTTATACTCCGTGGTTGTCCCTGGTGAGCTCTGAAAGCTTGGCTGGATTATGATCGGGGGAGTGCAATGGACTCTGTCTTCAGAGACAGAGGTTCACGTTCAGGGTCCAGTGTATGGTCCAGTTTGGACACAGCATTGTGCTGGACGTTGGGGAAAGACTGTGGTTTGGTTGAATGTTACTGGACTGAGTCGTTTTTGTGTTGGAATATGAAACATCAGATCTTTCCTGACGTTAATCAGCTGCTTTTCAGTGCTCGAACAGAACCATATCATTTACCCCGTCAATGAAGACTGTACTGATTCAGTGTCCGCACTTTGCAAATGGACAAGTGTTTTAACGAACACTTCCTCATTCAGTCAGTGGAATCCAGCCAGCACCAGCTTTCTTTCTAAATGTGTAACCAGTGTTGGACCCAGACTGTGTGTGTGTGTTAAAGAGCCATGCACTGTGCTGTTTGACTCTGACATAAACATGTTGCAGGTTCATGTGTGTGAAACTTTACAGAAATGTGGCGCATTATCTCATATGTATCTACACAATATGATTTATTCCCATGTAAATTTATAAACGGTTAATTGTTTTTACAATAATACAATAAAAATATGGGTCTTCTGTATTGGTTGTGTTTATGGTGTTGTACCATAAAGACGCCACTTTGTCTCCACCTACAGCTGCTGTCAGGGTCACACCATTATAAAATGCGACACAACTACAGAAACAACAATGTGGTAAAGGCCTGTGTTTTAGTGAAACTTGACCGTGAGCAGCTCACAGGGGTCGGTCGGACACCTGCTGTGACTACTGCCTGTAACACCACGTGAAACTTGACCGTGAGCAGCTCACAGAGGTTGGACACCTGCTGTGACTACTGCTTGTAACACCATTGAGTGGGACATCGTCCCCTCCCGGGCGCCTGAGCTGCTTTTATGTGGATTTTGT